CTGGGATGAGATGACAACACATATCAGTTTATTAGACCTTAGCCAATAAGATTTATAGAGCAATGATAAAAATGAAGCAATGAACCGAATGATAATGTGTTGTGATAAATCACTCCCTTAAAGTACAGTTTATGAAGCAGTTTCATAAACTGGAAAAGATAACGATACAGCCAATGTATAAACTGGATAATTAGCACAAAAAGCAAAATGGGAACCCAAGAAATAAAAACTATATTATTTGTAAACATGCACAGCTGAGTGAACATCATCCTACTGGGTTGTAGAAAGTACTTAAGCTTGTTGCATCATCCATGCAGCTCAATCTAGATATTTAGCCACCAGAACCTTCAATTGAATGACCAGATTAAAAAGACATACAGGCCAAGTGTGTATAAAGCTTAAGTAAATATCAGTAAATATGGCTGAACGTATGCAAAATGTCCCCAGCTTTTTCCATAGCCAGATCTAATACATTATCCCCCCACTGTAGAAAACATAGCTCAACTATCTTTTAAATCTGACAATTATCATATTTCATTGACTTTGTCAAAGTCTTGCACGTGTTTAACAAGCTAATAAACTGCAAGTCTTGTAAAAAAAAAAAAAAGCTTCAACAGTAAACAGGTATTGAGATGTAGGATCATTAAGTTATAACTCTTATATTTGACTTAAATATGTTGCCTGGTGTTGAAAACTTCTCACTGCACCAGTTAGTAAAATCATTCAAATATGTATTCAAGTACTAAATACAAAGCGAAGGTCAATAGTAAACCTCATAAACATCTCAAGGTTTAAAGTATTCATGTAGTCATTTTCGATGCAGTGAATATCACTGCAGCTGCTCTTTAAAGGCTCTTAACGCACAACACAAACACGCAGATTGGTCCTAGAAGTGCATTGTTGCAGTAAAGCTCAAAAAAAAAATCTGCATCCTTGAAAAAAGCAACTGTAGTCAACAGCTTGCCTGTTTTACTCCATTTAAAGGTCTACCAGCCTTTAGCTATGAGGCGATGAAAAGGTTTTGCTTCGCTAAAAGAAAAGTATCTGATTTCTGATTCTGTGCAGTGATTAAACATCTTTGTGTGTTTCTGCACGAGTAAAAGGGGTGATTTGATCCCCTCCCCCTCCAAAATGGCATCAAAGCAATCAAAATGGTAATGTTCAGCATGAATGGGGCCCCATCCCCCATCTCAAACTCTGCAGACTTTTCTCCATGTTAGGAAGAAACCAACACCCCTTTCTCACAAAATGGAAGCTTCCACTACCAAACTGAGAGTGCTGACAAACCCTCATTAACATGACAAGGCTTCCAAACTCGAGCAGAAGTAACAGTGGAACATTAAATCACCGACCTGGGGCAATGGTTTGGACAAGGAAAGGACAAGGGGGAAGGATTGGGATCAGCAGATAATGAAGGAGCTGTTCCAAGTTTGGTGCTGAAAAGCTGCTGCATTCCTAAGGAAGGGCGATCGATTCATTGAAAGGGGGGGGGGAGGAAGCAAACTGCTCACATTCACCCTAATGTTTCCCAAAACAGCACACAGACCCCTAAAAACGAGCCAGCGGCAAAGCACATAACACACAAGCTCCAGCGTGAAAGTTCTGTGCATTTCGCTACACTGGGGGAAGGAAGAAGAAAGCTTTCAATGGCATCTGTCCATGGTACTGAAAGGAGCACATCCACATAACACACACATACTGCCTCCCCCCACTCTTCCATTTCCGGCACAGCACAGCCAAGGGAGAAAAGGGATGGGGGGGGGGCTCGCTGCAATTCTGGCAAGCAGAGAGTTAACTTTGTGATGCCAAGAATGAAGAAGAGAGTGAAAGTGTCTCAATAAAGCCAGAGGAGAAAGTGTTCAATGGATCGCCTGCCGCAGCAATCTGCAACAAAGAACACTCCAACATCCATCTGCTGTAGCCCTCATCATATAAACATCCCCCCCAGCCTCTATTGCATATCAAGATCACAAAGTCACTCCAAGAGTGCTTTTTTTTTTCTTTTAACGAGATGATCCGCTCAAAATGGACGCCTTGGAAAAAAAAAGAAGGGAAGAAAATCTATGTAACTACAACTCACAAGTGTGAGTGTGTGTGTGTGTGTGTGTGTGTGTACATGTATGTGTGATCTGCTGAGACATGGAGGTGACTGCTGCACACTGAGCAACCTTCATGTCAAATGACACACTTTAACAGGCTGTTTACAAAGTATGGCGTGTAGGGAGGGAGGAAAACAACACAAACAAGTGTACATCATGTTTCTGATGTCTCATCACTAGATGTATCATTATTTGTCTTGCAGAGATAACTTCTGCTGGAGCGTTCCCAGATACATTGGAGCAAAACAACGGGGGAAAAAAATCACTTAAAAGTATTGTGTAGCAACAAAAGCAGACCGGGAGGAAGGAAAGGCAGGAGTCAACGTTCTGTGCAAAAGAATTTTCATGTGATTTTTCTTGTGTTACACAGGAAGGGGGGAGGGTCAAGTAACTCAATGGCCATTCCCTGACACCTTTTATTATAAATATGCATTAAAAAAAATAACACAAGTCTGTTCCTTCACACGGGAATGATCCCTTTAAAAAAAAAAAAGAACGATGAGAGCCGATAAAGTTTGTCATCTTCCCACTGTACAGCTGCACTCCACCACAAAACAACAAATCCGAAGGATACGAAAATAGCTTGCCAAAAGAATGAGAATTTTAAAAAAAATGTTTACAAATCTGCAATTACCTGTGGCTCTTGCTTCATCCGTGCAACTAGTTTCTAAGGAAGAAAGAAAATAAAACCTACGACGCCTTGAAAAAAAACAAACAAAAAAAAACTAAGTGTATCTAGATAGAAAAAGAAGAGTGTCAGAGGAGGAGGAATGAGAAAGTGTTTCAAGTTTGATGGAAATGGGGAGGAACAAAGAGGCAAGTAAACACACACACAGTGCGTGTGTGTGTGTGAGGCAGTTTCCCCCAAGCCAGCTCATAAATATTCAGGTCTCGTCCTAATCTCCACGCAGCAGCACCGCAATATTACTTCCAAATCCTTGTTGCTTGCTCCAGCAAAAGACAAGGGAGGGAGGGGGCGGGGAGAGCAGGGAGGGGAGGAAGAAGTAGTGAGAGAGAGAGAGCTAGAGAGGGGGGAGAAAAAAAAAGGGAGGGGGGCGAAGAGTGGGGAGAAGGGGAGGGGGAAAAAGGAACAAGGGGAAGAGGAAGGAGAAGGAGGGGGTGAGTGCAAAGAATAGGAAGAGCGGGGAGGGGGCGAAGGATGGGGATGAGTAAGGACAGGAGGAGGGAGAGCGTAAGAAAGGGGGAGAAAGTAGATGGGCATAGTAGGGAAAGGTGTATGAGGAAAAAAGTAGACTACTCCAGGGATGGAGCGGTGAGGTGGGGGGAGGGCTTGGGGGGTAGGGGTGGACTTTGCGTATGAAGTTGTCAGAGAAAAACAGCAGAGAAATCTGAGGCATGACAGAAGGAGGAGAGTAAACACCATCAAGTAAAAGTGATGAAATGATGAAGAGTGGAACAAGCCAACAGCCTGAAGTACGCTGCCGACCGAAGCCAACGCCGTCATGAAATGGCAGCAAGGAATTACGCCTATGGAGAGACCACTGAGGAAGAAGTAAACACAAAAGTTAAAGCGATGGCGGAGGAAAAATAAAATAAAAATAGTAGCGAGTAGAGGAAGTGCTGAGCAGGCAGCAAAGTGTACGGTTAGCGGGTAAACGATATACAGCGATCGTACTGAAATACATCTTTCATATAAAGGTGGAGGGCCGAGTACTGAACGTGGGCATAGGGGGCACATAACAGGTAACACTCAGCAGAGTCTAATAGGAAAGGATCAGAACGAAGGGAAGGTCACAATTCCAATCAAAACCAGGACAGGAGAAAAAGAGGAGAAAGATGAAAAACAAAGTCATAAAAAGTGAAGATGTTTAAAGGGGACAGCACAAGCCATCGAACAGGCAAAAAGAAAAAAACAGAAGGAAGAGCAGGAGAGGGGTTTATTAAAGGAGGGACAAAGTTACATTCACAAAGCGGGATTTTTAGATCCGTTCAAAAAAGTAAACTATACCCCTATGGGTAATGTTCTGCAAAAGGCATAAAGTGGATCTGAACCCAATCACTAAGACCTCACGTGAGCCTCAGCACCCTAATGTCAAAAAGTTGTTTCATTCTGCAACTTTCCTCCATGCTGTTCCGGCTATAGGGGCCTTGTCCAGGCACTTCCTGTCAAGGGGCGACTACCGCCTCCCAATGTGCTCCTACGTTGTCACACTACACACTCAGAAAGTCACTACAGAGTGGCCTTGTGCGCAGGAAGTGGCTGAGAACGGTCAGAGGAGATCGGCAGCACCAAGACGCAAGAAATAGATGAAAATAAAAATGGCGATTGTATAGGGGACATGACACTTCAGTCCTCTCAATAAAACGTACACAATGTCCATACGAGGAACAAATAAGATTGTGCAAGATGTTTAAAGTAGATGTAAACCAAAAAAAAAAACCACAAGTAAAATAGTACAGTTCACAAGACGCGTCGCTCTGGCCAACTAAACATCCTCCAGTCAGGTCTACTTTAATAAAGGGGGTGTCACCTGCAATTTTCTCTTTTTTTGCGATTCCACAACGGGCGATCGGACAAGTTGGCTCTTATTGAGGTGGGAACTATTCAAAGATAACTAAATACATAAAAAGTACATTACTATGGGGAGAAGAGAAGGCTAAATCTTATTAATGTGTATTGGAAAGGCAACCAAAACTCCAAATGTGGCCACTAAGTAGGTGCAGGGGGGCCCTCAGAGGTGCCACATCCAGGACTGAGCACATACAAGGTGATGAAGTTCTCTGTGATAACAATGGAGCAGGTGACAACCCCCCTCCTTCCTCCATCCACCTGACAAAGTAGTTGACAAAGTGTCCCCAGCGAGGTGCATGTGTGGATCAGCCTGCTGAGCAGTAAAGGGGGCTAGGGGAGGGCGCCCCCTCAGGTTGGGGGGTCATTACCTGGTGACACTGGATCCCCACTTGGATGGCCTCCTGCAGGCTCTGCACTTCCATGTCCGTCCGTCCGTCCGTCCGCCCCGTGTCAGTCCCACCCGAGAAGTTTTGTCAACCCTCCCCCCCTTCCCGGGTTCTTCCTTTGCGGGGCGAAGTCCTGCGAAGCCGGGGCACTGAGTGAGCTCCTGTCCGCGGAGAACTACTCGCTGTGAGCAAGTTGTGAGGGGAGCGGACTCATCACTTCGCACTCCTCCGCTCACTCTCCCCCACCTCCGCTCCGAGTCCCCTCCACCTTCTTCCTCCGCCTGCTCCGCTCCGCCGCCCCACGGAAGTTTCTCCTCGGCCGAGGCGACTCTCTTCTTCCCGTTCGCCCCGCTTTTCCTTCTCTTCTGCCTTCGTTTTAGAGAGGAGACGCGGGGACTACTTTGCCGAACCGGAGCGCGCGGAGGGATACGCAGAGCTGGGGGCAAAGCTTTTTTTTTTTTTTCT